GACTCGACATAGAATGAGCTAGTACTTGACTCGACATAGATGGAGCTAGTATTTGACTCGGCATAGATGGAGCTAGTATTAACATAAGCTGTGAATCTTAGACATTAAATAAACAATCCAAACAATTTTTAAGGACTCCGAGATATGGTTTTATAGAAGAATCCTCACAATTTCTTGAACAGCTAAAAAAAGCAAAACACATGTGTTTAAAAAACAGAAAACAAAAAGGTGGGTGGGGGGGGGGGGGGTCTGAAGAGAACAGCACAAACATGAGAAGCATACAGTTAAGAAGAAGTTGTGAACACTGGAAGATTCGTGGAGAAAGATAGAGAGAGAGAGAGAGAGAGAGAGAGAGAGAGAGAGAGAGAGAGAGCGGGGGGGGGGTGGAGAGAAAGAGAGAGGGGAGGGGAGAGAGAGAGAGAGAGAGAGTGAGGGAGAGAGAGAAAGAGAGAGGGGAGGAAGATAGTTTGGCAAGATTTGTGACAGTCTTTAGTCATGGCATGAAAGGGTGTCAACATACGAAATGATACCTACTGTTTGAGTTTGTAAAGAGGCATAACGGCCCTCGTCACTCGGCAAGGCACTCGATAATTATGATATGGATATACTATCACAGATAATGTTGCAGTGAGATCATTATTAGCGAGATTAATGATATTATCAGACTTTGCGAACAACATCACGCAGTAAATTTACTGAGAAACAGAAGATCAAATGGTTTATGTCATCTAGTTAGAATGCAAACAGAACTACCACCAATGCAAGTGCTACACTTGAGAATATCTGAAGTGAAAACAAGAGGTCGCCCTAGGAGAACATAGATTGATGACCTTAAAAAGCTGCTACATTGACACGAAATGACAACAGCCACTGCTGCTCACTAAATAATGGATCGGAAACTGTTCCTCCCCACGGTGCTTAACGACTGAAGTGAAAACCAATGATGACGATAAATAGAAAGATTGATGATTCACAGTGTAAGACAGACAATGTAGGCAAATATTTATATTCTAAACCAGATGACGTATTTCAAACTTGGTGTCTTGGACCATCAATCAGCCTCCGGACCCCGACAGCTGTTTGTGCTTGTACGTTAGAAATCTTGCGGTAAAGAAAATCAACATTATGATTGATGTGTTGTTTTCTCTAGCAACGTTTCCAGCGTACAGCGGATACACACATTTGAGTATATCGTTGAAAGCTGGTGACCTCATGAAAGTAAACCACATCTTTCATGTCACAATGTCACTCGTCATATGGTGCTAAACCTAAGTGTTTGTAGACCAAGCAACACTGTATAGATAACGTGGTCAACAGCACACCAGTATTGGCGGCACCCTCAATTCAGTTTTTCCTCTATCCACGGCTCCCATGTACACATTCACAGCGCCGTCAATTCAATATTCCCTCACCATGGCTTCCGTGTACACACTTGCAGCACCACTATTCCCTTTAACCACGACTGCATGTAGGCTTATGCGGCACCGTCAGTTCACTATACAAATATTTCTAATTTACTGGACAGCAATAAATACGAACCCTACAGAAAATGATCAATAAGTAAACTGACAAAATAAGCACATTGGTTGATCAGAGAAACAATGATCTTTCGGAACTCGACAAAACACTTAGTAATGTCACGACGGCTGCCAATAATTAAACTCATTATTGAGTTTTCGGAAATGTAGATATCTCGGCAACTATCACTTATGTTTGTATAAGTTTGAAACAAATTATAAAATAGCGACAGAGAAATTATATGCGGTTAAATTATACCGAGAAATCGCGAGTGTAATTGGCAATTTTCTCAAATAGCAATGAAAAATGTGTCGTTGTTAAATGAAAATCAATTAAAGAGGTTGAAACTGAGGTTAAGAGGTTGTTGATGCAAGCACGACGTTCTTTGCTTAAAGGCAGATCAATATTTATCTGACCAAAATTTTTAGCGTAGTTTCTGAAGTGAGCTCTTCATTTCAGAAAAAGTCAATGCTGGTTGGTAGATTTGTGAGTGCCGGTACAAGTTTCAGTTCAAAGGTTGTTGTGCCCCAGGGACACACATCAACACAGTATTCTACAAGTTAAATCTTCCATTATTGATTACAAATAAATTTGCTTCTTTTCGTCGCTAGAACAAATTGACGAAGATATTTTCTAACTGGTTGGAAGTCGCGGCAATTTAATCAAAATACTCTTGACAGTTGTGAAAATTGCTGATGTTCGATGAAGGAAAACAAGGACATAGTCACTGGAATCTGAAGACGTCATGGCCAGACAACAGGACATAAGAACTTTGCGCGAGGGAAACCAACTTGGGCTGTTCAGACAAAGTGCCTGTTCATGGTAGATATTTGCCGGTGGTTGGTCTTACCTATCGAGCACCTCAGAAATGGTGATTAGGAAGGCTGAGTTTCCTGGCAACAATTCAGCCAGTTGGGATATCAGAAAACGGGGGATATTTAGCGACCAAGACAGGGTTATATTTGAAATAGTTAACGAAAGCACGGTATGCTGCTTTTTGGGCCTCTTTGGATGGTGTCCAATTTAATTAACATGGCTGTGTTTGTGAAGCAAGGTCTGAACAACACCATCAATATTGGATTGTTTGGCTTGTCATTTTCAGACTTTGCTGGCGTGTCGACTTTGGTTTGGTTCGGTATTTGCAAAAACCCACTTTTCCAGAGCTCTGATATCGCACTGATGCCTGGAGAGTTCAGCTACCTCACAGGGGCATGGGCTCACGGCGTCTTTGCTAGAATCACCTGCTGGCACACGGCGTACGCAACTGCTGAAAGGTGTCTTTGTATTGCTGTTCCACTCAAGTGCAAGCGGATCATTACCCCTCGCAGGACTACTTTGATCATATGTTCCATCTACTTCATGACATTTATTTCAGTGTCCCCCCAGTATGGCTCCGCATACATTGACTGGAAGTTCTACGCAGGAAAGAACCGAACACTTCTTGGACTCGTATTTCGTCAAAACCGAGAAATGATGGAAGGAATCAGTTTTCTTCTTCATGCATCCCTAGGTCTTCTCTCTTTCACAGCCGTCATTATTTTCACTGTTATTTTAGTCATCAAACTACGGCAGCGAACACAATGGAGGAAACATTCCGCTTCAGAAGTTAAGGTCCATCAAGGCATTTCGGATAAAGATAGAAAGACTGTAAAGATGATATTGTTGATAGCTATCGTGTTGATCATTTGCTACACGCCCGGACTTATGAACGGGGTTCTAAACTTCGCGGAGCCAGAGTTTAGCGGCACTGGCAGGTACGCCAACGAGTTTCTGGTGTCATGGTCATTTGCCAACGTCTTCGAATCTGTGAATTCGAGTGTCAATATTGTTTTCTTCTACACGATGAGCTCCAAGTACAGGGCCACGTTAACTGAACTTTCCACCTGGCGCAGAAAGTCCAAATTATAAACAGGATATTGCATCCGCATATGAAACTCACTGCCGCTGTAACTCTATTGGGTCCTAGAATAATGTGCTTGCATTTGATTGTTAAATACAGATAAATGAACCAGCTGTATTCAGATGGTTGACCGGAAGTGACATTTATAAAAAGGAAGGAACAAGACTACCTCAATCCTTGCAGGTTAAGTTTATGAGGGAGAAAACTACTTCAATCTTTGCAGGTTAAGTTTACGAGGGAGAAAACTACTTCAATCCTTGCAGGTTAAGTTTACGAGGGAGAAAACTACTTCAATCCTTGCAGGTTAAGTTTACGAGGGAGAAAACTACTTCAATCCTTACAGTTAAGTTTACGAGGGAGAAATGTACTTCAAGTGCATAAGTTTACGTAGGGGGACACTACTTCAATCTTTGCAGGTTAAGTTTACGAGGGAGAAAACTACTTCAATCTTTGCAGGTTAAGACGAGGGAGAAAAAACACTTAATCCTTGCAGGATTAAGTTTACGAGGGACCGAGGTGACTCAGTAAGAGCTGAAGTCCAGCTGGTCTGAGTGACAGGCAAGACTGAAGTATGGCGAAAGACACAGGATGGCGAAGGAACAATGGAAGGACAGCATTAAGAGAAGAATTAACAACCGTCTCAGAGAGCTGAAGTGTGGTTTAGGTAGGGGACACAGGATGGCGAAGGAACAATGGAAGGACAGCATTAAGAGATGAATGAACAACCGTCTCAGATGTGAACAACTGTCTCAGAGAGCTGAAGTATGGTTTAGGTAGGGGACACAGGATGGCGAAGGAACAATGGAAGGACAGCATTAAGAGATGAATGAACAACTGTCTCGGAGAGCTGAAGTGTGGTTTAGGTAGAAGATACAGGATGGCGAAAGAACATTAGAAGATGAATGAACAAATGTTTCAGAGAGCTGAACTGGTTAAGACCGTAGAGTATACGGACAGATACATCCATGACGATCCACAGACATACAATGCTGGCGGCCCATAGTCGCCACACTTTACTGCAGATACGACTCTTGACAGTTATAAAATAACATCTGCCACGGAGACAGTCACAATATTAACTAGGGCAAAAACGCTAAAAATAGCAGCTACCAGAGATACTTTCACAATATTAACTAGGGCAGGGACGCTAACAATAACATCTACCACGGAGACACATTTTTAATTAGGGCAAGGACGCTATAATAGCAGCTACCACAGAGACAGTCACAATATTAACTAGGGCAGGGACGCTAACAATAACATCTACAATGGGGGGGGGGGGGAAGTGGAAGGGGGGGGGGCGGAACGAAGTCATACACTTGGAGCCCTTCTGACATAGTAGGACACACTGAGATATGAGGATGGTAATGATGCTGACAGTAAAAATAATAAAAGTAATGATGGGGATGATGATGATGATGATGATGATGATGAAGATGATGATAATGGTGATAATGATGATGGTGATGATGGCAGGTGAGGAAAGATTTGTAGATACAAACTGTGACTAGCACCACAGGACGTGATCTTTTAACGGTAGAGTTAATTACTGATTGCTGTCAAACACTGCCAACATTCTTACCTCGGAACACCCGCATCTGTGGTGGTACATGAGTTTCTGCGGCGGGCCGGGATTCGTCGCACGATTCACTGGTGGTCCCATCGGAGCATCGGCACATTCTTGGCGATATGCATGTTCCGTTTCTCCCACAAGCACCATCGCATCTCGCTTAGGGTAAAACAAACATTACAACTCTACAAGAAAACTTAGCTCTCCACACACAACTTTGCTCTACAAACAAAACCTAGCTCTACAAACACAACTTAGCTCTACAAACACAACTCAGTACAAACACAACTTAGCTCTACAAACACAACTTAGCTCTACAAACACAACTTAGCAGTACAAACACAACTAAGCTCTCCAAACACAACTTAGGTCTCCAAACACAATATAGCTCTACAAACACCACATAGCTCTACAAACACATCTTAGCTCTCCAAACACAACTTAGCTCTCCAAACACAACTTAGCTCTACAAACACATTACAGCTCTACAAGCACCACTTAGCTCTACAAACCCATCACCAATCTGCAAACACCACACAGCTCTACAAATGCCACACAGCTCTACAAATGCCACACAGCTCTACAAATGCCACACAGCTCTACAAAACACCCACAGCTCTACAAATGCCACACAGCTCTATAAAAACAACACATAGCTCTACAAACAACACATAGCTCTATAAAAACAACACATAGCTCTACAAACACCACACAGCTTTACAAACACCACACAGCTCTACAAACACCACACAGCTCTACAAATGCCACACAGCTCTATAAAAACAACACATAGCTCTACAAACACCACATAGCTCTACAAACAACACACAGCTCTACAAACAATACATAGCTCTACAAACAACACACAGCTCTACAAACAACACATAGCTCTACAAACAACACATAGCTCTACAAACAACACACATCTCTATAAAAACAACACATAACTCTACAAACAACACATAGCTCTATAAAAATAACACAAAGCTCTACAAACAACACATAGCTCTACAAACACCACATAGCTCTACAAACAACACCTAGCTCTACAAACAACACATAGCTCTACAAACAACACATAGCTCTACAAACAACATACAGCTCTACAAACAACACATAGCTCTACAAACAACACATAGCTCTACAAACAACACACAGCTCTACAAACAACACATAGCACTACAAACACCACATAGCTTTATAAACATAACTTAGCTCTACGAACACAACTTAGCTTTACAAACACAATTAGGATAAGCTTATGAAATGTAATGGGAAGTAGAGGGGCGGCATGATGCCGACCACATCACACATCGAGTAACAAGTGCCCCATACAAACTACGGTCTAGAAACATATGGCTGATGCGCCAGTGTCATGACAAGAGTCTTTTGGGTGTCCCAAATTTCTGCCAGGAATCATTTGAACTACCCCTTAGAAAGTTTTATGACTCCGTGAAAGGTTCATGACTCCGTGAATAATTTTAACTATCCATTAGCAACGTTCATGACTCCGTGGATCATTTGAACTATCCCTTAGAAAGTTTAACGACTCAGTGGATCATTTGAACTATCCCTTAGAAAGGTTCATGACTTCGTGGATCTTTTGAATTATCTATTAGAAAGGTTTACGACTCCGTGGATCATTTGAACTATCCCTTAGAAAGTTTAATGACTAAGTGGATCATTTGAACTATCCCTTAGAAAGGCTCAAGACTCCGTGGATCATTTGAACTACCTCTTAAAAAGTTTAATTACTCAGTGGATCATTTGAGCTACCTCTTAGAAAGTTTAATGACTCAGTGGATCATTTGAAATATCTCTTAGAAAGTTTAATGACTCAGTGGATCATTTGAACTATCCCTTAGAAAGTTTCACGACTCCATGGATCGTTTGAACTGTTCCGTGGAAAGAAAGTACTCGAATAAATCTGCATCGGAAAACATCATCATCATCATCATTTAGCAGGTCCTTTGCAGAACATCGCTCTCATCACAGTCTGCCTGTAAGAAACTCGGTCTCTTGCCAGTTCTCCCGCCTCATGAGCTTTCACACTCAAGGAGTCACTTATATCCTGTGCCCATCTTCGTGTCGGTCGGCCCCTGCCCCTCCTTCCTGGTACCATGCCTTCTGCAGTAATTTCTTCCAATCCGTTGTGGCGCTTGATATGACCAAAATATTTCAGCTTTCGAGAAAGGATGCTGTTTATTAGCCGATCTTCCTTGATGTTCAGATCTTTTAAGATGTCAATATTTCTCATCTTCTTTGTCCAAGATATTCTGAGAATCTTTCTATAGCAATTCAGCTCCAAAGCCCCTATTCTCTTTCTTAAGGACTGAGAGATAGTCCACGACTCACTTACGTATGTAGCCACAGGGAAGATGCATGCTCTCAAAATTCTAAATTTTATCTTCTTGCTGGTACTTAACCATATACTTTTAAGGCTGTTCAATCTTCGCATTGCTATGGCCATCCTCCTTTTAATTTCTGTCGAACAGTCTCCATTGTTTTTTTTTTTTTTTACAGAGCCTAGATATTTAAAGTTTGTGACATTTTCAATTTCTTCATCATTTATTATTATTTTTGATTGACAGCCAGTTTTATCTGTGGACATTATTTTCGTTTTCTTCAAATTCAAGAATAGATGTTGATCTTCACTGTGCTTTTAGACGGACAATATTAAATTTTCTATTCCCTTTACGCTGTTCGAAAGGAGGACTGTGTCATCTGCGTAGTGGAGTTCCGCAAATAGGGGTGCCATCAATTTTGAGCGGATCATAACTGTCACAAGTCTGGTCATTTTTGACATTTCTCAATATATTTTCTGCGTAAATATTGAATAGGTATGGTGAGAGAATGCACCCCTGCATCACCCCCTTTTGCACCTCGAACCAATTAGATGTTTCACCAGCTGCTCTGATGGCTGCTTGTTGTTAATGATAGATATTTTCAATTGAATGCACGGGAAAACACACGATAAAATAAATCCAAACGTTTGCTAACGGGATAATGAACGATGTAGTTGCAGTGATTAACACGAAATTATCCTGTTCAACCCTCGGGGTTATAACTGGGTTATAAAGTGTTATTGATTTTTTCAGAGAAAAGTTGTGCTTTTTTCTTTGTATCGTTGAATTTGTGAGTTCAGACAAGTACTCATTGTTTATGATTATTCGAAATATTGTTCTATTCACAACTTTTTTTTTGGGATGTGGGTGCGACAGATATTGTAGAATGAAAATACAGGCATGTAATCTGATAACTATTGTTTCCCGAAAAAAGTCAACTGATTATGTCATTCAGTTCTGTCACCTCATGCTCTCTTCTGTCCAAGGTGTCACAATTTTCTTATGCCCATCTTCGTGCTGTAAACTTCCTGCCTCTCTTACCCGTCACAATGTTCCTTTTTCTGTTCTTTCTAATTCCCCGTTTCATTTGATTAGCCAAAGTATTTCAGGTTCTTAGACAAGAAGCTGTTTACGAGCACATGTTTTCCTTGATGTTCAGATCTTTAGACACGTTACGATACAAAATTGGTGCTGCTGACAGCCAAACAGTTTCAAAGACATAACGACATACAACTAGACACATAAACGCTGACAGACAGTAGGCAGTCAGATAAACAAATATTATTAGTAAAAAAGACAGTTATAAGACTAACTATTTATGGGCATGGATGGCTGGTCGTTATGAAACGTGTTACCCCCGATATAGCACATGATAATGAAGATGGTGAGAGAGGCAAAAATTGCTGGACTGGAGTCCACCAATGATACTGGAACAACTGTTCCGGGTGGACTGGAGTACAGAAACCGATGTGACATATTATGGCACAAAACGGTGTTGATGAGTGAATAAAGATGCTGGTGATGTTGTGTGAACGAACGGCAACATACTTACGTATTGTACACGTGCGTCTAGAACGGGATAGAGCCCAACCGCTGCAACAGTGCCGCCCGCTGGATCCACAAACATTGGGGCCTCTGGAAAACACACAAGAGGCAATCTTCTTCTTCTTCTGTGTTCGACATCAGTCATGCTAAACATTGAGACCCGTCTGGGTCATAAATAGGATTGTGCCGTTTAAGGTCGTCACAGGTCCCCCATAGCTTCTCTTGCAATGTGGCTCCCTTGGGCCAGATCCACAGTCTTTGCTGGGAGAGGTTAGGGCAGTGCTGCAGAATGTGCTCAGGGGTCTGTCTTTCTGCTCCACAATCACAGACAGCAGATTCTTGTATGCCTATCCTGTGCAGGTGTGCTCGAAGACCACAATGTCCTGTCCGAAGTCTAAAAATTGATGTTTGTTCTTTCCTGCTGAGTTTGTTTATGCTACACGAGGCAATCAAAATGGGCGACAACAATTCATGGCACAAGTCCCACGGCTACATGTAGCACACTGTAACATTTTGGTCTGTAAACACTGAACAGCGCCAGCCACAAAGAAACACTGCTAATGTACACACATGAGTTTTATCATGGTAAGCGTTGGCTGTTATGTTTCAACTTCTGACACAGTCGACAGAATCACGCATCAGCTCAGTTTTTTGTCTCGCCCAATCCATTTGGAGAGGCCATCCAGGTATTTATCCCTTTGCTTTCCTCTTGCTCTCTTTCCATCAATTTTGCCAGCTGTTACCAAGTTATCAAGTCTATTTCTTCTCATGTCTAAAAAACATTGACTGTCTACATATAAGTGTTCTCATCAGCTGACGACTTTCATCTATACCCATGAGGACTGCTTCGTGTGTGTTTCTACCCTTCCCAAATTTTCCTCTGCATTTTAGTGAGAAACCATATCTTTGCCGCGAGAAAATGTGTTCCCGCTTGTCGTCTTTCTGTCCATGGTGTCGATAAATGAAACAAAACAGGTTCTACATATCCCTTGTATGGTTGAGGCTAATACATTTCCATCGTATGAATACAAGACAGGCACATAAATAAGTGAAGCGGCTCGGCGATCAGCGGTATCAACAATTACAAGAGAAAGAAAACTGCGGCTTAGCGTGCTCGTTGTGTGACAAAACAAAGAATCACAAACTAGGTAATGAAATGAGTTGACTGATAAAGAAAGTACGTCCACAGAGAGAACATACAACAGACGCCGACGAGAGAGGCTATCAGTGTCAGACTGCATTCTCTCTACCTTTTTCTTCTTGTGCTTTCCCTATCACAAGTGTTCAGAGAGAAAAACCACATGATTCCATCCAGGTTATGGAGCGATGCATTTCTTCCACTGATCAACAGACTTCGGTTTCCCTATCACAAGTGTTGCCTAGAGAGGAAAATGGTTGCCTACCATGTAGAGATGATGGCCAGACCATCCAGGTTATGGAGCGACTCATTTCTTCCACTAATCAACAGACTTCGGTTTCCATTGGAATGCTAACTGGCCAGACCTGATGGTTGCCTACTACATGTAGAGATGCTAACTGGTGGTTGCCTACTACATGTAGAGATGCTAACTGGCCTAGCATGATAGATGCCTACTGCATGTAGAGATGCTAACTGGCCTAGCCTGATAGATGCCTACTGCATGTAGAGATGCTAACTGGTCAGACCTGGTGGCTGCCTTCTACATGTAGGGATGCTAACTGGCCAGACCTGGTGGCTGCCTTCTACATGTAGAGATGCTAAACACACACACACACACACACACCAACCCACATACACACACGTAACAATACCTGTGTTTCAACTCTCTGTGTGGATTTACTGGTCAGAAACTTACGTGAGTCTCTGTCGGGACCTGATCTCGCCATCAGCACTATCCAGACATCGGGCAATGGTCAGCATGAGCACAAAAGCAGAGGCTATTTGAATTGCACGAGAGTAGCAATCACGCCGTGAAGTCCACATGTCTCTCAACTATTAACTCCTGTTACAGATCATCAAAACTGTCTGTTACTCTCATTTAACAATGATCGACTCATGTTGTATATCATCAAACTATAAGTTACTCTCATTTAACAAAAATCAACTCCTGTTATATACCATTAAACTGTCAGTCTCATTAAACATGTGATATATCATCAAATTGTCAGTGTCATTAAACATGTTATATATCATAACACTGTCAGTGTGTGGATCGCCACAGTCTGGTGAGATTGATAGAGAGGGGAGTGACGAGAGGTTCTGGCAGATGCTCGAGGCTCAGAAGAAAGACAAGACGGACGTTTGATCAAAATGCTACTGGCACCATTTGTATTGGAACTCTTCACTGGTTGCTGAAGATGGGGGACGGAGCGCAAATCAAATGGGACTGCCCCAGTTAGTGCTGTAAATGTCGATCGACTCAATCAAATCAAATCAACTGTCAGTTAGTCTTATTAAAAAAGGATCGACTCAGGTTATATATGATCAAACCGTCAGTTAGTCTCATTAAACATGAATAACCCTTGTTAAATATCGTCACACTGTCAGTTAGTCTTATCAAAGAAAGATCAACCCCTGTCTTATATCCTCAGTCTGTCTGTTAGTATAATCAAACAAAAATCAACCCGTGTCATATATCCACAGTCTGTCTGTTAGTCTTATCAAAGATCAACACCTGTCTTATATCCTCAGTCTGTCTGTTAGTCTTATCAAAGATCAACACCTGTCTTATATCCTCAGTCTGTCTGTTAGTATTATCAAACACCCATCAACGTTTGTCGTGTATCATGAAATGGTTTTTAGTCTTATCAAACTACCTGTAATGTGGGATATTTTCACCCTGATTAGGAGGGTCGGGGGGAAGCCCAAGGTTAACAAGAATACCGAGAGAAGCCAGATAATCGGATTAACCGAGGTTTTCAAGATGGAGGACGACAACGAGTAATCACGTGGAAGTAAAGGAGAACGACTACGGGTCGCCACGTAGAACACAAGAACAACCACGTGTTGCCACGTGGAAACGAACGCTGGGTATAAGTTCAATACATCATAGAGAGTTCTAACATTCCAGGTGCCAATTCTGGAGGTTTTCCTAGATGAGAGGAGGTACGTCGAAGATACGGACTCCTTACGGCTTTCTCCACACCATGTCATACTTCTTCTTTTTGAAATGCCTCCCCTCATCTTGGTTGGCTGGGTTTTACTTGCTTCTCTTTTTGACTTATCCATAAATCTCATTAAAATAACAATAAAAATAAACTATCAACTCCTGTTTAATCATCATCATCGTTTTGGTAACCGGCTGCTGTTGACTGTCTGATCCGTTATGTCCCTGTCTGCTGTTGGCTGTCTGATCCGTTGGGTCCCTGGCTGCTGTTGAGGGTCTGATCCGTTGGGTCACCGGCTGCTGTTGACTGTATGATCAGATCCCTTTATCTTTGACGGTTAGATTCGATGGACTTCATGGCTGTATTACCAAGGCCTGTCCAGTCAGTCAAGTTCTGTATCCTGTCATCCTTGGTCTGTCTCTTCTCCTCTTCCCCTATACTGACCCCTGTGGTACTGTTTTAAAAGACTGTTAGATCAGTCCGTACAATTGCATTTTTCGCTTTTTCAATGGATTTAATAGAAATTCATATTTTTCCCCCCATATATTACGCTGAATAAAATTATACGGCAAACATAATTTGTGATGTGGTCTCTATACAATATGCTAAGAATTTTTCTGAGAGATCGCATTTCCAATGCTTGTATCGTCTTTTCGAGTTCAGCTGTTAATTATGATCCACAGTTCACAGCTATACATAAACGTCATGATAGCTATTGTGTTAAGATCTACATTTCACAGCCACGCATAAACGTCATGATAGCTGATTTCCATATTTGCCGTTTAGCAAGGACTGATGTTGTCTGGGCACTCCTGTAAGGACTGATGTTGTCTGGGTACTCCTGTATGGAATGATGTTGTCTGGGCACTTATGTAAGACTGATGTTGTCTAAGCATTCTTGCAAGGACTGATGTTGTCTGGGTACTCCTTCTGAGGACTGATGTTGTCGGGCCACTCCTGCAAGGACTGATGTTGTCGGGGCACTCCTGCAAGGTTTGATGTTGTCTGGGTACTCCTGTAAGGACTGATATTGCCTGAGCACTCCTGTGAGCACTGATGTTGAGAGCACTCACAGAGGGACTGATGTTGTCTGGGCACGCCGGTAAGGACTAATGTTGTCTGAACACTCCTGCAAAGACTGATGTTGTCTGGGCACTCCGGTAAGGACTAATGTTGTCTGAACACTCCTGCAAAGACTGATGTTGTCTGGGCACTCCGGTAAGGACTAATGTTGTCTGAACACTCCTGCAAAGACTGATGTTGTCTGGGCACTCCTGTACGGACGGATGTTGTCTGGGCACTCCTGTACGGACGGATGTTGTCTGGGCACTCCTGTACGGACGGATGTTGTCTGGGCACTTCTGTACGTGATTTCTGGTCTGGATCCCAGGTCAGTTAGAATAGATTCGAAAATTGGAATTGACTGATTTGTTCTATTTTAGTGACCTTTGACGAACACTGGTGTTGTAATGACAGCTTTCTAGCGTTTCTGTCCATGCCGTACTTGTGAGATGTTTGATATCACCAATAAATGAATCCATTCATCGGGGACTAAAATGAAGGGGGAGATACACACCAGATACATCAGGCGTTTTGGTGATGGTCGACGAAAAAAAAGATTAACGTGGTATTGTTGTATCATTCAAACTTTTAACCATTTAATTTCATTGCGTGAACATCGAGCAACTGTAAATATCTCTTTACTTCAATTTCCATTGCTTCCTACCGTCTCCTCTTCTGCTCAATTACGTGACTCTACCCACCATTAACTTGTGAGACATAGGGTACGTTAGATCTAGAGATCTAGCGATTTCTAAAAGGGCTCTACGAGTCAGTGTAGTTGAGAACCGCTGGTCCAACACTATTCGCTCAGTGCGGCAAAGGGCCCAATGGTAGTTTGGTCAGTCAAGTAGGTCAGCAGAACTCTTGAACTTCAACTCACTAGGAATTATGGAAAAAACATCCATCCATCTACCCATCCACACACACACACACACATACACACACACACACACACATACGTACTTACACACACACACACATATACGTACTTACACACACACACACACACACACCTATCTTAAAATGAGTTCAAAGAATACACGCACTGCCACTTAGTCAGCATGTTGTTCAAAGAATACACGCACTGCCACTTAGTCAGCATGTTGTACAAAGAATACACGCACTGCCACTTAGTCAGCATGTTGTACAAAGAATACACGCACTGCCACTTAGTCAACATGTTGTACAAAGAATACACGCACTGCCACTTAGTCAGCATGTTGTACAAAGAATACACGCACTGCCACTTAGTCAGCATGTTGTACAAAGAATACACACACTGCCACTTAGTCAGCATGTTGTACAAAGAATACACGCACTGCCACTTAGTCAGCATGTTGTACAAAGAATACACGCACTGCCACTTAGTCAGCATGTTGTACAAAGAATATTTGCTGAAACTGGAAGTGTGAGGACGAAAGGCCCAGATAACGCAGCCTAGCTGTAAACCAAAACACAACGTGCAAACTGCCCTTTGAAAAACGAACACAGAAGAAGATTTCTTAAAGCATCCCATACATTAAAAAAAAAATGTTGTAACTTAATTTCCTAAAGCACTATATCAATTAATTTTTGTAAACCGTAATAACTGTCCAAAGCACCATATCAAATAATAACTAGCTCTATATCACTGCTTTTAAACCGTAATAACTGCTCAAAGAACTATATCAATGGATTTTTAAACCATTATCATATCTCAAAGAACTGTATCAATTACTTTGTAAAATGCAAAACCTAAATTTCTCAGAGCACTGTCGCAAATTATTTTCAAACCGTACAAACGTAACTTCTCAATGCACTGAACGAATTAAATTTTAAACAATAAAAACTGAATTTCTGAGAGCACGGGTTGACTAAAGTCTAAAAGCACAGGTTGACTAAAGTCTAAAAGCACGGGTTGACTAAAGTATGAAAGCACGGGTTGACTAAAGTCTGAAAGCACGGGTTGACTAAAGTCTGAAAGCACGGTTGACTAAAGTCTGAAAGCACAGGTTGACTAAAGTCTGAGAGCACGGGTTGACTAAAGTCTAAAAGCACATGTTGGCTAAAGTCTGAAAGCACGGGTTGACTAAAGTCTGAGAGCACGGGTTGACTAAAGTCTGAAAGCACGGGTTGACTAAAGTCTAAAAACATCACTTACTTATTTATCGAAGCACTTTGTCAACGACTTCAAGAACCCGGAATGTCCTGAAGATGAAGACAGTTATAGCCAGAAAGACGCAAACAAACAAACAAACAAACAGTCACACCGAAAATTGCGGTGTTGCATTACTACGCTTAGCTGGCGATCGAGCAGTACAATCAACTCTTGGAGTAATTCTATATTTGCTATCTGTTCTGGAGATAACAACATCTGGGAGACTGCGAGTGGGGATTCTTTGTTGGCGATTGTCTGGATGTTGTCAGGCCACTCCCGACGTCAACAGGCCACGCACAACGCTGGTACCGATGTAGCTCTTCTGGTCTCTAATTGTTGAACTGAAAGTTATGTGTCTTGGGTATGAAGGATGGAAGGATGGAGAAGGACTAGGAAAGGAAGCAGCAGCAGTGGCATTAAAAAAGAGAAGAAAAAAAGAAGAAGAGGAAGAAGGAGGAGGGGGAGGAGGAGAAGAAGGGGAGGAGGAGGAGAAGAAGGAGAGTGAGAAAAGGTAGGAGAGGGAAAAGGAGAAGTAGGAGGAGAAGAAGAAGAAGCAGAAGAAGAAAAGAAGGAAGAAAAA